TAAATACACATATTCAAGAAAACTCTCATTCTTTTAAAGGCAAAAAAAAATAAAAATCCCTTCATACTGATCATAATCATGCACTGTGATCAGAATTACTCAGCAAAAAAGCAATATACCACTTCTCTAGCAAGATTAACTACACACAAATTAGCCAGGTATTTACTGAACTGACTTCAAAATAAGTATTTAAGAAGTTGTTTTTCCTTAATGGCCAGCATCACCTAAAGTGCACTCATGAGAGTGCTCTAAACTGTAATTAATCCCCCCTCTCCTCAGCTTTATCTAGTGCAGCATCCTGAAATTCACTGTAAACTGGTGCAGCTTGCCCAGATGGGGTGATAAGTAAAATCTGCCCCATCAAAACATAGTGCTACCTCCCATGAAGCAGGAAAGTGCTTTCATAAAGACAAGCACTTTGACTAAAGTGTAAACTTACGGGAGCAAACCTGCAGAAAAATGAATCTGGAATTATGAGGGAAAGACATGAAGAACAAATGAGATGGGCAACAATAGGAAAGAGAAGGCTCAACTTCATCTAACAGTGGCAGGAGTGGCATAAAAGAGCAAGATGAAAAAATTCAAAAGATATCCATGGGAAATAAAATAATGAGAGACAACTGGGAGACAGAGTGTGAAAACAAATCCTGAATATTCTAGACAGCCCAGAAATCGGAGAGACTTTAAGAAGCTTTCTATTTCATCCTCTACTTTAGTATGAGACTAACAGATTTCTGAAAGAAAGGAAGAAGAAAAAAAGGGAAAAGATAGGAGAAATGGGAAATTGGAATTCAGAAAGAACGGCTGTCAGGACTGGATTGCATTCTGTTTATCTCACCATTTAGCTTATTTTTACAATTAGCTTGCTTATCATCAGCAATCCTGAGTCATGACTGAAAATACAAATGTCTTCCAGTATATTAGCTCAACAGTTATATTCGCACAGAAGTGCATAACACAATAAAAATTGCCTTGTTTCATTTAATGCAATAGCAAGCACAATTCTGTCACCATTACTAGAATTTTATTTAATCTGATGTATCACCGCTGACACAGAAAGAAATACTTTGGACTCAAACTACTTGTGAGAGGAAGACAGGGCTAATGGTGCCTGCAGTGCCAGGAAAATGTATTACAGAGAAGCTCCTTGTCTCAGGTGTATACAGAAGAAGCGCCGTCTGAATTATCCGGGAGCGGTGCACGTACAAATGGGGATACAACATGAAGGGTAACACCAAAAGCACAAGTGCCAGCCCTGAAACTGGCCAGGGCAGCAATTTTCAAAGCCACTACCACACTGCTACTCTACATTTCTAATTGCAGTCATCACCCTTTGCCATCCAGTACCCTGCACATTACACAGAAATCTCTCATAAATACAGAACACAGGAAACATTGGCAAATCGCTCAATTTTCCAATTCTGACTTTAAAATTAATTAAGTTTGTTTCTTCACACACTAAATCCTGTAGCATCTGAAGGTGAGATAGAATACAGTGTAACCAGTGTTACACAGACATTCACATCCATGTTCTGTGCTCTCCAGGCTTTTCCAGACAAGGTTTAAAAATAATACCCTGAACACAAGCATAATACAAATTTCCCTTTTTTTTTTTTTTTTTTTTTAAAGCTGGATGTGTGGTTTCACAAAGTAACCCACTTAACTATGCGGAGTAGGCATAAAATAACAGGAAAAAATTGCAACAAGTTGAGATGGGCGACTTGCTCTGTCCCTGGGGGTTTGCTTTCCCAGGTACTGTGTGTAAACATGACTGACGTTTCACCACCCTTATCTGACTTCCAGGGTGACTTCAATCCAGCAGGTAAGTCCCTCCAAAGTAGGTGTGATAACGTGTGCCTGTATTTGGTAGCACTGTAAGGGCCTGTGAGATAGGGAAGGCAGCTGAAGCACGGAAAACAAAGGTGCTACTTAAAGAAAGCGCTCATACATCTTGTTTAACATAGAGGCTTTCCCCACGCTTGTCAAACTCCAGAGGAAGTTTTTCTGTCCTCAGACGTAACAGCACAGAGGAGGACCCACGAACTGCTGGTTTCCATGGGAGATGGAGACGCTTTCAGTGACGGGGAAAGACGCTCTGTGCTTTGCGGGGCTCCTGACAGAGCAGAACAGAACTGATCCTGTAAGTCCTCTGTTTAGGCTTGAGCCTGCTATGCCACTTATGACCAGTGTATGTCTGTTATGCCACATTATGGTCAAAAAAGTCACCAGTCAAGACACCCAGAGAGCCCTATCTCTGCACTCCCTGATAAAATAAGGGCAGATGCAGACACCGAGGTAGTAGATTTTAAACAAGCTTATTTCTCGTCTAGTACACTTTGCATGATCACAGAGTAAATCCTAATTGCTGCTGCTGCTACTGATTGTCTTAAATTCACCTTCATAAGCTAAAATAAATGTTAATTAAATAAAGTATTATGGACTTGGTAAAGGTTTACAAACCTTGTGCCTAGCAATTAGCAATAATAAAATTCTGGGTGTTGAAATTGAGAAATGAGGAAAACCCTGCAAAACCAGCACAAACTGTAGTTTTCATTTCCCATGTAAACAAAAAAACCCACAACAGTATCCCACTTCTAAATGTGCAATTCTCAGGCAGCCGTGCCATGAAACACACATAGCCAATTTATCTGTATAAAGCACACAGCAGAGCTGCTCTACCTGGTACCAAATGATACATTAAATTTGTTCACAAGGGAAACTCTTAATGTTGCTGTTAATGATTTACACAGAGACAAACCAGCTCTGCCTAAATTTTGTTAAAAATTGTAAAGTTCCGGTCATCTTAACCTCCCTTTCATAACTGCAAGCTAACCCAGTCAATAAGCTGGAAACGTGTATCACGTTTCTCCTGCCATGAAAGGAAGGTATTTCTGCCAGAGTGGCCTTAAAAGCCAGTGTTCCCTGGGCACGCTCCAGATGCAGCTCACATTTGGGCTCATACGAGACCCAACAAGGACAGATGAAGCTGTCCTCTTGCCGCCCTTTCCTAGTGGATTCCCTCACTGAGCAACTAAAACCTGATTAGGGCCCAAATATCCATCCGTTTCCACTACGGATGTTAGCAACTCTGGGAATTACAAACTGTTCAGTGAAGCCCACTGCCAACAGGGACAGGCAGATCCAGGCTGGGAACCTCTGATTTGCAAGAGAAGGCAATAAGCCGTGTTTCGAGGTTGAAATCAGCTCAGATAAAACAGAGGGGCAGTCCCCGTCAGCGCACACGACAGCGTTGCCATCAGCGTCGGCAGAGCGGATTAGCACCCACGCGCTTTGCCATGCAACGTCGCAAGCGCATCTTCACCTTCCGACTGGACCCCCCTCCTTCATATCAGGAGCCATCCAAGTGAACTTAATGCAGCTACTGTAATTTCTGTTCACATGTGTAATATCTGAGTCTGGCCGCGGACGGGTTCACACAGATGAAACCGGCTACGTAGGATTCAGGAGGTTTGTTCAGAAATGCCCTCAGACTCCAGCGCTCATCTCCGAGATGCACTAATGACATGCTTCCTCATTGCAAATTCGAACTCTTTAATCAATCTTTGGATACCCAGCAATTGAGACAAATTTTTAATCAGCACTGCATCTGAGAAATACTAGTTGCTCTTCAAGGCACATGTATAAATTGGCATCGCAGATCTCCTCTTTATCAGGATTTTAGAAAGCAGCTGTACTGTTACATCAACTAAATACAGAGAGGGCAGGCACATTCTATCTCCTGCTTTTCATAGAAGGTTAGCTAAAAGGTCACGACCAAACAGGCCCATTTTTAACTGGAATTAAGCATTTTATTTACAAAAAGAGCAGCAACCCATGTCACACTCTGCAAGTCAAAGAAACACTGCACGCATAAGGCTTCATTACTACAGCACTAGCAACGGCATCTTGTCTTCACCCATCGCTCTCCATTCTACTTTCTAAGTTAGGCACCACAAGACTTCCTATCAGACACAGAAACTAAGGAAATTAAACCTAACAAAACTGCTGTAGACCACTAGCACACACTTTAAAGCTCTTTTCTACTAAGTTGAAATGAGTTTGTGACATGAACATTAGAAGTAGAAACAAAAAAGCTGCTGAAGCAATCACAGTCTTTTTCAGCCTGTGCAGACAGTGTGAAGTAGAGCAGCAAATTGCAGCGAGCGGACAGCACGGCTCTTAAAATTTGCCCAGCTTCTGCTCTGACAAAAGAGATCACTTAGGACTTCATCTTGCTGTTGCTCTTGTCGTTTAATTAACGGACTAATAAGTTCACTGCTGGCATACTCTGTGTTTGTCCCTTCTCTTGAAAAAAAAAAAAAACCCAAATCCACCTGTCGTTTCTGCTAGGGCTGGCTGCTATTTAGCACTGCTAACTGCGAGAGCGGTGCCCGCCACCGAAGGCGGGAGGAACCCGGAGCAGCGGCCGGCACCGCCCAACCTCGGCCAAATTTTTTTTGGCGTTTTCAATTCGAGGCTGGCAGCGTTTTCCCTTCCTCTGCCGCGGCCGTGCGGTGGGGCTGCGGGACCCGCGGCGGAGACGGCTGAAGGAAACCTTCCGGGGGGGTTTGGCGGCTGCCTCTTGGCACACAGGCTCCCCCCGGCCCCGGCCCCCCCCGGCCCCGGCCCCGGCCCCCCCCGCTCCGGGCCGGGCGCTGCCAGCCGCGGCCGGTTGCCTTCCCGCCCCAATAACCCCCCTGCGAGAGACCGACCCTCAAACCGAACCCCGCTCCCCAACCCCTCCCCTCTTGCAGGCGGAGGGGCCGCCGGCGACGGCAGCGGGATCGGGGAGCCCCTTCCGAAGGGGAAGGGCGAGGCAGGGCGCCTCTCCCCGCTCCTGAGCCGCTCACCCTGCCGTCTCCTGCTCCGCCGGCCCGGGAGAGGGAAGGAGCGGAGGGGGGGAAGGCACCGAGGCCCGGCGGCCAGCGCGGCCGCTGCCCGGAGCCGCTCCTGCCCGCGGAGGCGAGCGGCGGCCGGTCCGTCCCACCCGGGTGGCTTACCCGCTGGGAGGCTTGCTGGCCCCGGGCCGTACGAGGGTCTCCATGGCCGAGCCTCTCTCACCGCTTCTTGAGGGACGGGACGGGACGGTCCGAACGCGGTCCCGCGGCGGCAAAGGTCGGCGGCGGGGGGGGGGGGGGGGGATCGAGAGGGAGGGAACAGAGGAGAGGAGTCAGAGCCCGCCTCGCCCCCGCCGCGCCCCCCCCCGCCCCGCTGCCCAGCGCGACCGCGGGCGGGGATGCCCCGCCGAGCCGGCATACGGTGGCCCCTCGCCGCCCCCCCTCCCGTCTTACCGGGCCGGCCGGCAGGCAACGCCGCGCCGCGGGCGCTGACAGCTCGGCTGCGCCCGCCGAGGAGGGGGCTGCCCGGCCCCCCCGGCCCGGCGGGGACTGGAGCGGAGCGGCGGGGCGGGCCGCGCTCCCCGGGGGCGAGCGGCTCCGCTGGGCTCGGCGCGGCCGGCCGCTGCCCGCTCGGCGGCCCCGGCGGGCGGGGGCGGGGGCACTGCCAGCCCGTCTCCATGTGACTGGCCGGGACAAACGCAAACAGGGCGGCCGCCCACGCCGGCACTGCCGGGGCGGCCGCCCACGCCGCGGCGGGGATGGGGTGGGATGGGGTGGGATCGGGTGGGGTGGGATGGGATGGGATGGGATGGGATGGGATGGGATGGGATGGGATGGGATGGGATGGGATGGGATGGGGGGGGGGACCCGCGGGACAGAGAGAAGCGACAGGCGCCGCCGGCAGCACCGGCGCAGAAATGCCGGCACCCACCGCCATTGCCATAAACTTGGCGAAACCAAAGCTTGCCAAGCGGCTGTCCCCCCGAGACTGAGCCCCGCGGGGAGCGAAAGCTTTTCCTGAGCCTCACGCACTGCCCAGCCCCTGGCGTTGCCACCTACGGCTTGTTTCTCGTTACTTTTATTTTTACAGATTTTTTTTTTTTCTTTCTTTCTTTCCTTGGAGGCGGCACAAAGAACTTTTTAAAAATTAGTAGCGGTTTTGGCCAAGAGAGGGGCCAAAGGGCGGCGATGGGGCAGGCACGGCAAGGCAGGTTTCTCCCCGGGGCGTTGGAACCCAAGGGGGCGAGCCCTGCAATGGGGGAGGCAGCACGGGGCGCCCCGCACCCTCAGCCTCGCACCCCGAGCGAGCGGTGCCGGGGGCCCTCGGCGCAGCCGTCACGGCAGCGCAGGCCGCACGTTACCATCTCAGTGTGCCCCTTTGGAATTAGCCCCCTCACGCCGTTTCCCCCAGGAGGGCGACTTGTGCGTGCAAACAGAACCAAGCTGGAGGCGGGGGAGCCCGCTGGTACCTGCGGCCGTACGTGCCCGCTCTTGGCCGTGCCTGGCGCTGGGCACCCTGGCCTCTCTCGGGCCTTTCAGGAGTTTCTCTGTGGGATCCCCTCCGACCCTTTCCGCTTGCTTCCCCTAGCCGTGGTGGGAGGATGGCAGAGCAGTCGGGCCACCAGCCAACATGGGGACCGGGAGACGGGAGCAAGCAGGCCCAGGAAAGTGTTGGTGAGAAACGGGGGCGAGGGACTGCAAGGGGAGGGGGGGATGCTGCCTGACTTGCCCCTTCACCTGGCTGCCTTGGCGGCAGTCCCCCGCAGGTTCTGGTTAATCGTCGTCACCCCTTTCCCCAAACCCTTCCTTCCCCTCAGCCTTGAGCTCATACCTCTGCATATTCTGCCCACTGGAAGCTGCCTTGCCCAGCTCAGTGGCCAGAGCAAATGCCAGCAGCTTCTCTGGCCCCAAAAGTGAGAGTTTCTTCTTCAGCAAGCAAGACTTGGCCAATCTAGGTCAGAAGTTGCATGCAAGTGATGGCATTGCTATCATCAAGAAACCCCCTTCCCAGGCAGATTGTAAATATTTTGAAACATTCGGACATTGGGTTAATTTTCCAGTAACAGAAAGGAAAAGGACGCACTTATTTTTTCTGTACTACATGACTGGAAGATTACTGTAAATGTCCACATTTGTCCTGTACCAAGGCTTTTGCATTATGATCAAAAGATCTGTTTCTGTGCCTTCACCCCAATGTATAACAGAACGCTTATTGTAATAATAGTAATCCTTCATTATGTCTTCTCTCTCTCTGACAACCTGAGGTCTCCCCTTAATTCCCGACTCCTCAGCAGAGAGTTAAGAATGCTGCTTTCCACTCCCTCCTCTCCCATCCCTCCATCCCTGACACATACAGGGCAAGGGAGACAGCTGGCTGTCCTAGCTGTAGGTAAAGAAACAAAAATATGAATTTGCAAAAGCAAAACATTGATCTCTAATTTAGCTCTTACCATGGGTAGAAGTTGACTGAGTCGCCACAGTTCAGTAATTGCCCCAGTCATCTGAGCCACATGCCACAGTAATGAGCCACATGCATGTTCCTAATTTGCACCCTTATGAAAATAAATAGGCTAGCTTACATACTTTATTTTGCAAGTGGATTGGTTCAGAGACTGCACACTGACAGTTACCATAGCTCCAGGATTGAATGGTGATCTATTAAATCACAGGAACTTGATTTCGTAGTTCTATTCATCTATTCAGTCATTTTTCATCTCCTCTTTTTTCTCCTAAATCTAAATTAACTCTTCCCTATCCTAGAATAGATGCTAAAGCTGCACAGGCGTAAAACCACTACGGAAACCCCCAAACCTTCTGCCATCCGCATCATTAGCAAACTACACCGCTCCAGTTATTTCAAGAACCTGAAAGAATGCCCCTTGCCTCAGTGGTAACTTGTGCTCAACCGTGATACACCTGAGTGGAGGTATAAAGCACAGAACAACAAAGTAGTATTTGCTTATTACGTTCACTTTTTTTAATATAGCACAGCAAAAGAGCAAAAGCCTATTAATGGTCAAAATCATACTCTTAATACATCTCCAGAGCGCCAGCAGCACCGACTGCCCACAGCCCCAGTTCTTCAGTCCTGTTTAGCTGATGGAAAAGCTGGGTGAAATGCGGGGAGCTCACTCTGCGATATGACATGGTAATCTGCCTTTCCCCAGGCTCCTTGGCACTGGGCCCGGCTCTCAAAAAAAGGGCAAAGGGGGCATTTCTAGTGTGCATTGTAATCCCTACAGCCGGGGTGCTGTGCTCGTTTTTTAGGCAAAGGGCATTAGTTCAGAGAGGGGCATAACATGCCGGTGACACTGAGCATGTTCAGCCCCCTCCCTTGGACTGCTTTTAACCCTTTCTTGTCTGTATAGCTTCATCTCTGTTTAGATAGGCCTCCTCAATATATTTCCTAAGAAAATTAAGTCATTTAGATGACAAAATCCTTGCTGTAAAATAGTTTAGGCCTTTAAAAATAATAATAATAAAAAAATCACCAGTGCAATTTCACATTTCTGCTTTTATTCAGTCTTCAAATCATTATTCTTCCTTACCTTCGCTGCTAGTAGTATTACTGACTCAAACCTTTAAGGCTACATTTTTCTTCTGCTAAAACTGGCTTGCAGTGTTTCAGGAATTTGAGTTTATAGTACAAGCTTAACTGAACACGTAAAGAATCTAGTAAGACAAGTCTAATACCACAGAATTTGTTTCTAATGTAGCAGAAAGAGGTTAAAATTAGCTCCGCATTATCTAATGTGCACCAATTAACCAAGCCTTTTCTCTAGTCTAGCACATATCTTTTCCTATGATTTAGCTGTTTGAGGACTATCCTAGAATTGGAAACAGGTTTGAGCTTAAAAATCAAGGCAAAAATAACAAACTTGAATTTATAGCAGAAGATTGTGAATAGAGGTTAGTTAATGTGGTTAGGTTCAGTTAACAGCAAACACACATTTTTAACCACATAAATCCTTTTCCCATTCTAAGCAATCTAGAAATTGCAATTTAAACATTAGTCCCTGTAAGAGTTGACTTACTGTACAATTGCAAAATTCCTGGCTAAGTAATTACAGCAGTTGGAGCTGTGTAGCCTCAAGCTCACAAAATTCTTTTGTTTTGCTATCCACAGAAAAAAAAAATTAAAAAAAAAAAAAAAAGGGAAATGAGACTTTCAGGGCTTGCTAGACCATTTCCTTGAGTCCCAGAGCACCACTTCTTCAGAAAGTTGTTTTGAGACTTAGTCCTACAGGTCCTATTGCTTTTATTAGGAACCTGAAATATCTGTGAGCAAATGATACCAATTTTAGAGGAACACGTCAAAATAACGAATAAAAATGGTGAGTAGTTTTGAACAAATGTCATGTCACTGCTGGTCCATATGAGACTAACACAACATTATCAAATACCGCTGAAGAGGCTGAATTTGCCTCAGAAAGGCACTGTGTCTCAGTGAGTGGGGTAGTCAAGGGGGAACGAGGATATTGTGCCTTGATCTGCCCATAGTCACATAGCAAATGACGGACCAGTTTCTGGTTCATCTCCTGTTTCTCTTTATCTTGTGTCATGCTGAGGAGCCTCCTTTGTGACTCAGTGCCAGACTGCACTTGTACAGCATCTAGCAGAGAGCAAAGGCAGTTTCTGCCCCGGGCAACCTGGGGGCTATGGAACAGCAATTTTTGTTTTCTTCATGGTTTTAGAGACTTAGGTGTAAGAAGTCTGTGGTGTCAATTGAGGCTCCCAAGGAAAGAACCAAAAAAGATACTAATCATCCAGAAGCATGACACAGAGGCTATCTGAGAGAACACGTGGATACGGATACAGGTTTATGTAGCTTTAGCCATGACAGTTCATGTTTTTTCTGAGTTATCAGGTAATTACCTCCCGTGTATGTAGAAAAACCGAAGCTTGCCCTTTCTCTTGTTATCTCTCAACCTGTTCTGTTTTGAAAGATAGATCCCTTCAAAGATTTTTTATTTTACCTCCCAAAACTTACTGAAGTCGGTGAGGAGTCTGGGGGGTGGCCCCAAGAGACCTAGAGAAAGGAATTGGGAGTGTGATGGAGAAAGCTAGAGACTCTTTCCCATCCTCTGCACAGAAAAGGCTGCTGAGGAAACCTCTGCTTGACCGTTCACTCCTGGCTCCAAACCGCAGCGTGGTCTGGAGGAAGGCGAGGTGGAGAGAGGGACGGCTCAGCACGGCAGGCAAGCGGGCGCAGGGTGCAGCGCCGGCCCCACGCTGACGTTCGGGAGCTGCCGGGCAGATCAGGCACTGTCATGCCAGGCAAAAATATTCTGGAAAGGGAGGGTCCTTTTTGCCTTAGAGAGTATTTCGGAGCACACGTGCAGGGTGGGGAACGTGATGTACGTGAGCAGAGATGGGGAAATGGTTTAAAACCACGATGTAAATAGAACAAGGAATTTCTGTGAATGACAGCCATCAAGAAATTAAAACCAAGCTATTTTAAATGTGGCTAAAAGTGGACATGGCAGACATCATCATAACCCAGACTAAAGCTGTTATGCCTCTATATTATGCTGACACAGTCCCGAATGTAAGAACCATAGAACTTTGGGGATTTTATGTTAAAGGTTGGGTATTGATTACATGCTTAC